GTTCAAATAATCCAGCCTCACAAGTTTCGCTTGGTCGTTGCCTTGATAGGTTTCTTGTAGCCTTTGCCAAATTTCCTTAGATGTAGTTGCAGTAACTACTTTCATTAAAACCAAATCTGTCACAGCCATCTGTAACAATTGTAGAGTTTTCATATCATGCATCTCTTTTTCTTTCCATTCTTCTAATAATTTTTCTTTTTCTTCTGGTTTTTCTTTTGGCTTTGGTGGAAGTCCTTCNTCCACAATTTACCAAAGCTCTTGAATCCTTAAAGTAGTTTTTATCCTTGTAGCCCAAAGCTCATAGTTTTGCCCATCAAACACTGGAATTGTTACTGTTTGCAAGGTTTTAGTCATCTTTTAGCTTCTGCCCAGACTTTGCACGAACCCGGATTTTGCACAGAACGATTTTTGTCGAACTCAGATTTTGCACAGAGATGAACTTTGCACGAACTGGTTTCTTTTCACGAACCCGGATTATGCTCAGAACGATTTTGCAGCNGAGTTAGTTTCACACGAATTTTGCACGTAACGAATTTTCTTAAGAACACTCAGGACCTTGCTCTGATACTATGTTGGAATTTTCTCTATAGAAAAGTATTTTTCTTAAACCTCTTTTTTTATTATTAATTCTCTCTTTCTTTCTCTTTGTTTTTTTTATCTTTGTTTGATCTTTATTTGATACATAAAACCTTAAGACTAGAATTCTATTTATAGAGTTAGGATTCTAGACAATATAGTAAATTGCTATTTACTAATGTTTGCCTTTTTCATGATTTTTTTTTCCTCTAATTTCCTTTGTTGCTTGATTTTCCTTTTTCTTGTTTTTCCCTTTTCTTTATTTTCCTTGATTTGTTTTTTTACTTGATATTCCTTTTTTTTGTATAGAAAACGAATCTATTCCAACAATTATTACACCACATGTAAATAAAATCATCCAATACCATTAAATCCCGTTTCATTTTAATTTTTGGCAGCAGATCCTTACGAATCCGTTCTCATTTTAATATAAATCAAAGGTATTTAAAAAAAAATTGTATAATTTTCGCTTTAAATTTCACTTTCGAATAATGTATATTCTAGTAGACTATATATATTATTTTACCATTTTATTATTTGTATACACTGTTTGTATATACCGCTTGTATACGCAAAAATAACATACATTATATCTGTATATGATGTACTCATAAAATATCAAGAAACCCTCTAAGACATAGACGTGCGGACAAGATGTGACCCACCTAAAGATGACGACACCAATCAAAGCTACACAACAAAAAATGAGAAGATAACTTTTACTCAACACATTATT